AAAAAAAAAATTATATATATATATATATATATAGGAATGGGCTGGACAGTAGGACAGCAGTATTCTCAACTGTTCCTTTTATATTGAGGGAAATTAAGGAAAAATCAAGGAGATTAAGTGACCAATACCAGATTTTTCAGTGAGTTGGTGCTGGAGCCATACTAGGCCCAGAAATGCTGTTATCTGTATACCATATTTTCTTCTTTTCCATTTTCCAATGGAAATCTTCTCTTCCATTGTCAAAGGGCTTCTGTGATAAGAAACCTCAGAGATATTCTTTGAGTCATAACTAAGCATCAACGCTCAATAGGGCTCTTGAACAAAATGTTCTTTTTCTTTACCCTTTTATTCTCATATTTGTTTTCTTTCACTACCACAGTAAAATCTCAGGATTTATCTGCAAACTAGTTTATTACAACCTTCCTAAGTAATCTTCTTAACCTTGCTGATACCTGTCAAAAGCTTTCCTTTCCTCTCTGCATTGAGCAGATTATCTCCTGCAGTTTACTTCTTCCCAAATTTCTTCATTTTTCTATTTTCTGATTCAAGCCCTCTCCTCAGTCAATTATTCACCACTTACTAAATGCTAAGTACTTGTATACCAGGTTTACATAGGCCAGAAGAACATTGTCCCTATCCTTGAAGAGCTCACAGTCCATGGTCTGCTTCATAAATGGATCATTATAGTATTACAGAGAAAGTGCAATGTCAGAGACGCACAGGGTATTAATGAAGTCAGGAAACACCTAATGTAGCCTGGGAAATTGAAAGACCTCCTTAGAGAAGATGACTCTAAATTAACCATTATAGGTAAGCAGAGGGGACCAGATAAAAAGGGAAGAGCCTTCCAAACACAGTGGACAACATGAGTAAAGGCACAGAGAACAGAAATAGTCTGTATTATGTAATTTGGTCTTGCTGGAGCAGAATGGGAGATAAAGCTGGAAAGTCCCTGTAGGGTTAGGCTACCACAGCCCTGTCTATGTAAATCTAGCAAGCTGAATGCCATATAGGCAACATGGAGCCAGTGCAGAGGTATTTAATCTGGAGAACAAAAGTGTTAGACTTGTAGTTTAGATAAATATTCTGTCTGATAATAAATCTGTAGGGACAAAAGAAAGGCACTGAGATCAGGCAGTAGGTTTTTCAGTGATTCAGATGCAAAGACTAGACATGAGCAATGAAGGAGAGATCAAAAAGAAAGACTAGCTGGCCACGATGGGGCATGTCTATAATCTCCGCAATCTGGGATACCGAGGTGGGAGGATTACAAGTTTGAGACCAGACTCAACAAAACTTACTCAGATTTTAACAAACAAACAAACAATAACAACAACAATATAAACCCCCAAACAAAAACAAAACAAAAAACAACCACAACTGGGGATGTAGCTCAGTAGTAAAGTGCCCCTGGGTCTAAATCCCATTTCCCTACCCCACCCCACCCCAGAAGAAGAAAGATCAGATTCAAGAAAACAAAGAACATACATGGTCATGGAATTCAGGAATGAGGAGGTAGGAGCAATTTCTCACATGGTTGACTGGTGGGATGACAGTCAACAACAGGAGAGAGAATAAATAAAAAGGACCAGAGGTATAACACCAAGGATAGAGCAGGTATAAACTATAGACTGTGGGTGAGAATGATGTGTTGGTGTAGGCCAATGGATAGAAACAGTGTATTATTCCAGTGTGGGGTATTACTAGTGGGAGAGACTGTTGGTGTGGAGTTTGTGTTTGTTCTCTCTCTCTTTTTGGTACTAGGGATTGAACTCAGTCAGGGTCCTGCATATGTTAGTAAGCAATCTACCACTGAGTTACATCCTCAATCCCTCTAGTTTTTCTTAAAGGAGGCAAAAGTTTATGAGGCAGCTGGGAACAGTGGCTCATGCCTGTAATCCCAGTGGCTCGGGAGGCTGAGGCAGGAGGATTGCAAATTCAAAGTCAGCCTCAACAATTCAGGGAGGCCCTAAGCAATTTAGTGAGACCTTATCTCAAAATAAAAAACAAAAAGGGTTGGGGATGTGGCTCAGTGGTTAAGTTCCCCTGAATTAAAAAAAAAAAAAAAGTTTATGAGGCAGATAAAAGGAGAGATGCCTTTGCAGTGAGGAAAGGAGAATAAAAGGCACAGAACCATGGATATGCACCTCTGGAATTATCAGTGGAAGGTTCCAGGTCAATCCTGGATAGGTTTATGTGGATTCTGGTGGTTCCATGGCAAGCAAAGCTTTTCTGGGTCATATTTCTTTGTTCCTGTCTTTGGAGTGCAGGTGTGCTCACCTTCTGGATACTCCAGATTGTTCTATAAATCAGATAGCTAGAATGTTCCTTTCGCCAAGCAGACAAATGTATGCCAAACATTGACTAAATGTTCTATTTGTGACCCAAGTGTGTTCATGGGCCTGCACTGGCACACTGACATCTGAACTCCTACAGCAGCTTTTGGCTAGGGTTCTGGGTCAGAATTTTTTGGGAAGAAATCAATCCAGCTTGCTCCGTCCCACTCTGTTCTCACCAGGACCTTTTCTTTTTATTGGTGGGGAGGGGTTATCAGAGATTGAACTAGTGATTTGTACACACTAGGCGCTCTACCACTGAGCTACATCCTCTTTTTATTTTGAGACAGGGTCTTGCTAAATTGCCCCATGTTGGCCTCAAAATTATGATCCTCCTGCCTCTGCCTCCTGAGTAGCTGGGATAACTAACTTGCATCACTATGCCTGGCCTACCGCCCTTTTTAAAATTTTATTTTAAGACAGAGTCCAGACTTCCCAGGCTGGCCTAGAACTTGCTATCCTCCTGCCTCAGCCTCCTGGGAAGATGGGATAACAGGAGTGGGCCACTGCACCTGACCCCATTGGGGATTTTATTCTTGGTAAAAGAGTATGATTCAGTGGTACCTAGGTGTGTGTCTTTACAAGCTCTACAGGTGATGGGAGAACTTGTGCCTGTTAGGGTTTGAGTCTGTCTTGTATAGCACTTCCCAAATGCTGTGGTGAATGTGTTCTCCAAAAGTCCCCGTGTTAGAAACTTAATTCTCCAGTTCATATGGTAATGATATTTGGAAGTAGAATCTTTAGGAGGTAATTAGAATTAGATGAGGTCATGAGGATGGGACCCCCATGATGGCATTAGAAGAGAGACCTGAGAGCATACTCGCTCTATCTTAACCTGTGATGACCTCTACCATGTTATGATGGGGTAAAAAGTCCTCACCAGATGCCAACACCATGCTCTCAGAATTCCCAGCCTCCAGAATTATATGCAAATAAACTTTTATCAACTATAATCTACCCACCCTAGGCATTTTGTTTATAGCAACAAAATGGATATTGGGGATTCTTGATGGCACCAAAAGTTGTCTTTCATCATAGGCCATGGTTTTCTTCCTAACAATAATTAATGATCTTACTGTTTATTTTTCTGTATAGAAATTACTACTACCTGACATCATGATCATCTATTTAGTTGTTTATTTAGTTATCTATTTCCCCCCTCTAGATTGTAAATGTCCTGAAGGGGAAGATTTTATGTGGTTCACTGTTGTATTCTCAATACCTAATACAGTGCCTGGAATATAACAGGCATTCACTCAGAGATACAATTATTGTTAAATAAATCTAATTCTACTTACTAATGACTATTATTTAATAGGAAATGTTCCTCAGCTTGAAATGTAATGAGCCTCTTTTTATCTTTCAAATATAAACAAACACCAAACACCAAATAGAAATGCATAAAACTATATAGCATGTATAAAAATCTACCTACCTTAGCATAGTTTAATCTTCCTTTTTCTTGAGCCTAAAATAGAAAATAATTTGTTAGTTCTTTAAAAATTATTTAGTGTTTTATAACTTTTGTTTATCAAAGAATAAAAGTCAACTCTTTCTCCTTTCTCCATCTTCTCTATTCAATGTATACATACGTTGATCATATACACACACATATTGAGTGATCTCTCTCTAATATGTGTATATCATATTATGTTCTAATATATATGATATATATAATACATATATACATACACGCATACATTTCAAACATAAAGCAAAGTTGAAAGAACAGTTCAAGGAGCACATAAGGACTCCATTAGGATTTGACAGGTGCAGACACCATAACTCTTTACCCCTACACACTACAGCACATATCTTGTATACACAGGAAAGCTCATACATAATCACATGACCACTATCTGACTCAAAAACTAACAAAATGTCATATCATCTAGCATGCAATCCATATTCAAATTCCCTAATGGTTCCAGGAATATCTTTCGTATCTTTTCTCCCCACAAAACAGAATAAATCAAGATTGACCCATTAGATCTGTTTTCTATGTCTCCTTTGGCCTTTTAAATTGGACTAGTGCCCCCCACCCCTTTTCATGAAATGAAAATAAAAGCCATTAACTTCTTTTCATGATTTTTTGAGGATACCAGGATGACTGTATTTAAAATTTCTCTTATTTTATCTTTATTGTGTTATTTAATTTCCCTGTTTTGCTTGTAAACTGAATAGTTGGTTCTGGGGAAGCTTGCTCAGATTTAGGTTAAACATTTGTGGCAAGAACACTTTGTGGAATATTACATACTTCATCAGTTCAGATGGCAGAAAATGTCAGGTGGTCCCACTCTTGGTACTGCTATTAATTTGATCATTTGGTTAACACAACTATCAGATCACTCCGTAGACAGATCTCCAAGTCCTATTCAATTTGTAAGTAATCTGTGGGGTCAATTGTTTCTCACATGTCTTGGTGTAATTTTTCTTACATTGCTGTGGGTTGAAAGATCCCCACCAATCCACCCACTCATACTAAGGATGAGGATAGGAAAGAAAAGAGGAGGTATTGGCTGGGGGTGTAGTTTAGTGCTTAGCATTTAGATTAGTGCATGAAGCCTTGGCTCTGACTGCCAGCCCCAGAGGCATGGGGGTGGGGTGAGGAAGGAGGTGAAAGAGATATTCTGTGTGAGGTCAAATTTGACTTAAGAATATTTTTAGTTGTTATTGAATAATACATACAAATGTGTAATATTTCAAATCTTAATAGAGACAACAATGTATTAACCTTTGCCGGCAGGTCAAATTGTGTTTTGCAGACTGCAGAATAAAACTTCTATCACCTCTACACAGAACAAGAGCACTTCACTGCTCTTGGTTAGATATTAGAACCACTTTGTTCCTGAGTCCAAAATTACATTATCCCAGTAATTAAACTAGGCAGAATATCCCTTGAGAGAAAAGGAAATGTTTATTACATTGTCTGACATTTCTTGCTTCTTTATAACCTTTTGAAAACTTATCCACAGATGCCTACAATGTTTTTCTTCTTTCAGAATAAGAAACTGTAGTTAGCCACTGCTCACCCACAGCTATTGGCACCACCACAAAACACTCTGAAATTTTGATTGGAACATTTCAATGAGACAGAAAGTCTCAAAATCGATATATTATTTACAAAAGGGTTCAGAGTCATCAGTCTGCTCTTTAAAGATTTTTTAGGGATATAGGGTTTCTAGTAGACTGAAAAGAGTCTGAACTTAGTATTGAGATGCATCACAACATAGGAAGGAATCCATTCTTACCAAAAATTTAAAACCAGGCTATTCTTTTCTGCTCAGATATTTTCTATCTGTCTATTTGTACATGGGCATCGTTTCCCAGAATGAAGTTGTTTTGCCTATACTGAAAATCTCCTCCCTCACCATGGAAACTTCTGAAGCCAGGAGTAGCCCAGAACATATCTGTAGGCCCTGCTTAGGACCTAGTCACTCACTTTGATATTGTGCAAACATGTACTAGCCTTGATCCTATGAATAATCCATGGATTGCTTGTGACCAAAATTCAGCAACAGCACTTCTGCAACATGCTTGGTCTTTAAGTCAGGCACTACTGAGGCTCTAGAGATGTAGTCAAAAACAGAAGAGAAGAAATCCCTGTCCTCATAGAGCTTATATTCTAGAGTGTTGCACAATATTATTTTAATTATTTGCATTATTTTATATTTTAGATAGGCTTCAAAGAAATCTTTCTCTAGAACTTAAGCTTCATGAAAGCAGGAAAATTTTTGTCTTGTTTACACTACCTCATGTTGAGATCAGTATCTGAATGACTGAATGCCTAGATGAATGTCTTTTCTTCATATGTTTCACTTATGTAACTGTCTATTCAGGAAACTTATGAAGCAAAATTCATTTCACTCACACTATTCATAGGAAAGCTAGACATTATGGTTTAAAGGGATGATACAGCTAATGTGGAGCCGTTAGCCAATACCTTACAAATAACTTTATCCATATTGAATAAAGAATATTTTCTAAGCTTCCAACTATAGAAAATCACTTTGAATATTCTATGAAAAGTGAACAATAAAAGGACAAGACAGAGAAGAACAATTTAGCAGCCTTAGCATAATTCAGTGCTTGCTCTGGGACAGCCTCGAGATGCAATAAGAAGGGCCTGGAATAGAAGTCAGGAAACCTCCAGGAGGACTTCAGGATGTACCCCTCCAAGCTCAGGCAGTAAGGCCTTGTCTTCTGAGAAAAATAAGTGCCTAAGATCTTAATTGTGACCACTCCAAGAGGCACTGTGACCTCCATGGAAGAGGAACATGGTAGGGGCCAGAAGATACATTTTCTAGGCCTTAATTGGATTAATTTTTTTTTGGTGTGTGTGTGGTGCTGGGGATGAACCCAGGGCCTTGTGCATGTGAGGCTAGCACTCTACCAACAGAGCTATATCCCCAGCCCTTAAAATTTTTTTGTTTTTTAAACGGGTCTGCATTTCTTTGTTTATAAAGTAAGAGTTCCAGATCAGACCAGAAGTTCCCAAGTGCTGGGCTCTCTCCACACTGGACTAGCTGTCTTGGAATCACCTGGGCAGTTTGTGAAAAATGCAGATTCCCAAACTCCTATCCATGGGATTCTGTCTTGTTTGAGGATCATTGGTCTGGTCACTATCTAATGTCCTTTCCAACTTACGTTTCTATATGCATCAGTGTTGACTTCAAAGGCTAAAAGAGAACAACTATATAAACTCCTTAAGTGTCAAGGAGAATGCAGTACTGTAACTCCCCCACCCCCTTTCTGACATCTGCCACTTATCATGTATATTTCTAGCAGAGCAAGATAGTATTAAAATAACTTTCTTACTGGGACCCAAAATAGGCTGATATAAAATAAATGCAGACTGTATTCCAACAGCAGCAGCCCTGTACCTCTTCCTGCTACACTGTTCGCCTCCGTACACGGCAATTCCCCGAGGGCTTCATTACGAAAGTCTTTAAAAGGGATTCACTCATCTCTTTGCCTCCTGTAGGTGTGCTTCTCGTCAATCCAGGTCATGAGAAAAGAAAGTAAATTTTCCCAGTCTTTAGCAGTTCACAGAGAATGTGTGGTTTGAACCTTGTTTTATCTTTAAAAAATGTGCGAATAGACAAGGGAGCATGCCAGTGCTATGACACTGGAGGCCTCCTCAGACAGCCATGGCGAGCGCTGTAAAACAATGTTCCCTACAAAAGCAAAAAAGGGCCAGCACTCTGATTGAGAGGATACACAAAGGGATTAATTCCAAAGGTTTATATGCCGGGCTCTGCAGACCAAAAGCAGACAGATTCCCTGTTGGTAAGTAATGGACGTACAATGTGGTCTTTTACCTTAAGAAACAAATGCTTTTTTATAAGTCAGGTAACAAAGAAGGATTGGATGACATAAATGAACTGTTTCCAATTTCCAACTACTATTATCTGGACTTGAAAGTTGGATATGGGTACACCTTTTTCTAAATGCAGAAAACTAATATTCGAACAGCAGGGAGTCCAGAAATTGCTAGAGGCTGATCATTTCTACTTATTAGGTTATTCTTCCCAAATGTTACCAGCTAAATTTTGGATTAAGTCACTTTTAAGGATTTTCTTTTTTAAACCTCCAAGGCAAACTATTTCCCTTCCCCCAACTTTTTAGTTAAAGGAATAAAATGAACAGCCATTTGCCCTCCACCTAGGTTTACTGGTTGCTAACATTTTATCATCCATCTCTCTTTAGATAGGACAATTTGTTATTTAAGAGTAAATTGAAGACATCATCATGATCATCCCTAAATACTCTATGAGAACAAGATATGCTCCTACATAATAATGTCAACAAGCCCATTATCACATCTGACAAGTTTGCCCTTTATCATAATATTATTTGAAATGCAATTCATATTCACATTTCTAAATTGAACCAGTAGGGGTTAGGGTTGTGGCTCAGTGGTAGAGTACTTGCCTAGCATGCATGAGGCACTGGGTTCCATCTCTGGCACCACATAAAAATAAACAAATAAAATAAAGGTATTGTGTCCATCTACAACAACAACAAAAATATTAAAAAAATAAATAAATTGAACCAATAGTGTCCTGTGGAACTGTTCTGATCCCAAATGAAGACTGAATTAAAAATCATACATTGCCTCTGGATATCATCTTTTTAACCCTTTCTATTCTAGAATAGCTCTCATACCATTACCTTTTTGTCTTTCATAATGCTGACATTTTTAGAAGGAGTCCAGGTCAGTTGTCTTTTTCTTCTGATGAGATTCAGGTTAAATATTTTTGGCAAGACAACTACATAGGTGATACTGTATAACTTCTCTTTTGATTACAGCAGGAATCACTCAGTATCAGCCTGTCCCATTACTACTGAAATTAAGTTCATTTGTTGCTTCCCTATATATTTACTAAGTAATCTGTTGGGTGCTTTGAGTCTATGTGAGTGTCCAGTTCCCTACTAACCATTCAATTATTATTTTTTTTAAGAGAG